ATATATATATATATATATATATATATATATATATATATAATCTTACAAAACTCACACACATCAAATGAAAATGTAAAATGTGAAAGCCTATATTAGATTCTTAAGGACAAACTGCAAGAAAGTTAAGTTGCCAACCGTTGAGTTACGGCATCGCTTCTGAGAATATTTTATCAATGCTTTAAAAATTATTTTTACTTAATAAAATAACTTACAAATATAACTGTTTTTTCTAAACGCAAAAAGTCTAAGATATAAAATTATAGTAAAGTTATTGCAATGCTTATTACAACACGTAACGTAAATCTACCCGTTCAATTGGCTATGTTTTAATAGATATTTTTATATGTTTTATTGTATTAAATATTCTATATTTAATAAAAATTTTATTTTATTTTTACTCACCTCTTCGTCCCTTTTATTCTTCATTTCGCATTCTTCTATTTCGTCAAATATCGCTTGCATTTCGTCCATAATGCTATTTTCTAAAATACGACGATTTCCTAATGATCCGTTGCCATCGAATACTGAACAGGAAGTGTCCTCAAAGGACATAAATTCTCTTTTATAAACTTAGGGGCTTTCGGACGCCGTCTAGCTTTGATTCTCTTAGTTAAGGGTCACGTGACAAGCAACCGCACTATTTCAGATGTAAGTTTACATATGTGTATGTATGTGATTGCACTGCAGATGAGCTCAGATTTCTGAATTTGCTAAATCCAAATCACTGTGCGACTCAACAATGAGTGATGAAAGAAACATGTTCAGATAGCACATGTTAACGTATATGAAAACATTGGATATTTGGAGATTTAGGAAACGAACACGTGTTACCTGGGTAGTGCTGCTACCTGGGGTTGGTCACCTAATCTTGAACTAATTCAAAAATGACCCCCAAAAAGACGAACACACCCTGAATATCCTTTATATGTTTCAACGGTTGGACACATCTCGCGTACAGCGTTACGAAAATAAACACATCGTACGAAGACTGCGATCCACTGGACGATACAATGCTTTGAAGTGTTTTTCTTTTCCTTTTTTCTTCATTGAAAGGAAGGAGAAGAACTCTTCGAAGCATTTGTAGCACCAAATAAATTGTAGCCAATGATTATCAATATTGTTCTTAAGAAATTTAGCAACATAACTTTAAGCACAACATTTTTACACAGCTTCTTATTAATTTAAATGTGCAAATAAAAAATATATATTCTAAACTACAGAAAAAAATTTATCGTTAACATTTTTTAAATTTTGTAATTTAATTAGAATATTTTCAAACATTTAAATATATACAATACAGACATGTCTGTAGATATCTTTTTGTCTTGTCGAAAAAGACAATATAAAAAAATATCTTTTTGTTATCTTTTTATATTAATTTTGTAATTTTGTCGATTGTTTAATCTTTCGACTAAAACTTTAACAAAGTATAATTTTTTAATTTTACTACTTTATCTTATTTCACTATTAGCTGCAAAATTTATAACTAAAATAAAAAAATCTTACAAGATTTTTTAAATAAAATAATCGCAAAATGTAAACAGCTTTTACAACATTATTTATACAACATTTTATAACATCAGTAATCAATTCGATAACCTTTTATTTGGATTGTTGCATCAATGAGAAGGCAAGAATCATTTCGCCAAAACATAAAGTCGTCGTGTGCATCACAATTCAAGTGATCGTTATGCAAGAATGGCGCTGATCGCGACTGCATTATTTAAATTAATTTCCTTGTTAGCTTTAGCTATTGTATGTTTATGATTCACCATGTAAAGATAAGCCTTCATTTTAAACAACGCATTCCGGCCAGCAAGAATACAGATAATTCATTTACGTTGCCAAGTCACGATATCGTCAATAATCATGTTTAAAAAAAAAAACCGTATAATATGAAAAAAGTTACAGCGTGATTATAAGAATAACTTTAACGATTTTATTTGAATTTTATTCATTTAATTTATATCATCACTTTTTGGATTTTGTGTGTAGTTATTTTTCTTTATCTTTCGTGAAATTCGATTCATAAATTTTTGTAGCTTTCTAATTTTAAACAAATGTTGTTGCATCAGAAACTAGTTTTACAAGCTCTAACATCGTCGTTAATTTTATCTTCTATCTTTTTCTGAATCACGGTTGATTGCAATACGTAAAACAGAAGAGAAAATTTATCGGTTAGCGCTAATTGTCATACACAAAAGTGCTCTAAAATTCATTACTCACATTTTTTATCAAAACTTTAATTACACTGGTGGATGCAACGATGCCGAAATCTTTGTGACTTCATCGATAAAGTGATCAACACTTCGCAGTATAAATAAGTGTTTACATTGGCTCCTACAGTGCACAATATTTTCATAAGCCGTGCAAAATTTCGAATAACCCAAATATTTTCTTTGTAACAACTGCAATAGTAAAGATGATATAGTGACCCGTGTTTCGACAATATATCTGAGATTGTCAATACGATTCTAGCAATCTAACAAATCCAGCAAAACTGAATTATATATAGAAGCGATGATTAAAATATACAATATAAAAGAAATAATGAGATTTACGAGCCCACAAAGACATATTAATGCGAATAAAGAAAAATAATATTTTTGTAAAAACATATAAAGATAGAGACAATTTCTTGTATAAAGCATTTAGAGAACGTTCATTGGTTTTACAGATCATTAAATGTTTTTGCAAAAAAGTATTTTTCTTATAAATAGAAACTGCGTTTTAACATTGAACTTCATTCACGTCGTGACTCATCAAAATGATAAAATTTTTACTTTTACATTGCTTTAATTTCATCAGCGAATTTTATCATTCGATAATATTCAGGTCAGCACTCACATGAATCTTACATGATTATAGTTTAAGTTAGCCGACGCACTTCTTTGATAATAACTCCAGGAAAAAATTTTCTTCTTAATGATTACTAATAATAGTCGCTTTGTTTCTCGCTTAACAATTCTTTCTCAATTTATAGAATACTTCTCGTATGCACTTTCGACTTTCTTCAAAGTAGTATAAAGATGATTATTGAATGGTACGTATACATTTATTCTTTTTCTTGTGAACAATGAATGAATAATTAATTTTTTAAGAATATATTTGTATAATAGAAATTCTCATATTAATGTCTAGACATTTACGTAGCAAACTGAATCAAGAGCAGGTTACCAATATATTACAATTGGTCGTCCGGTAAATAGTATTGTCCGTATAATAGTTTATTCACCTCTCGTCATATCGAGTATGTCGTGATCTTTATTATGTATGCGTATGTATCTCGCACTAGGCTCATGTATTAAGCAATTGACCTGCATTTTTCATGCGTTTATTCGTCGGGCTATTTACTATGTACTCTGAAAAATTCATATGCTTTAATTGTAAATTGAATTAATTCTTGACTATTCTTAACTAAAGTTTTCGTGCAACAAGCATTGAATCATGTTCAAATCTGGATAAAGTCACGCAAAATTCATCGCCATTCCTTATTGAAAACGGATTTCATTGTGCCTTGTATCCTTGAAGGGGCAAATCATTTGTTTAGTGCGTTATCGTGACCGTGCTTGAAATTATTTATCGACCAGTGTGCCGTCTTGTATATAAAAAGCACATGTAACATGCATTATTCATCACGCGCATACCAACGAATTGGAGTTTGCACGAATTGTTATGAGGCGCCAATACATAAATATTTTCATGCTACTACTTAATCAATATTGATAAAGTTACTGTTAATTATTATTGCTATAATAAATAATAATATATAAATATTATCACTATAAAATACTATAAACTCAAAATATCGGCTACAAACCAGTGAATAAATTTAGATTATAATTCTCTTAAAAAATTTTAAATTTTAATTTTTATGTATGTAGTCGTTGTGTGTGTATGTGTGTACGTGTGTGTGGAGTTGATAAATCAATTATATGTTTCAAAATGTATTCATAAAACTAAGATAAACATTTTTGTGGAAATAGTCGTAGAATAAAAATAAATTAAATTTTTGGTACATAATTATTTAACATTTAACATTTGTGTTACTAACATTATTGATAAACTTCAGCTATGAATGAACTTTTTGATGATTGCTCCTAAAGACCTCACGCAAGCGCTGTTGCAATCGCGCCGTTCTATGGGAGTGAACAAAACTGGATCGGACCGCGTGGTTTCGATTAGTCAAGCGGTAACTCCGCTCGACGAAGGAATCTCTCAGTACCCTCCAAGACTCACGCGTGCTTTCTCGATCGGGAAATTCGCAGGTTCACATCGTTACATTCTTGACTCTTAAAGATATTCCGCAACGCGAGAAATGCGCGACGAGTGATTGGCATCGAGGATATCGGATCAATGACCCTGCTCGACGATTCAGGTGAAATCGTGCAAAACCATCGTGTCGAAGTATCACAAGACTAAGTGGACAACTGGAAACACTTCGAGCGTTTTATTTTTTGAAAGACCGCTGAATTAAACATGCATGCAAATAGCAACAAGGCACGTGTAGTGCCTGGAAAGAAAAATGCAATGTATTGAGAGCGTATAGATACGAGTGCACATTTATTTTTGTATAATAAAAAAATCTTTTTTTGATTCTTTCTTCAATTATTTACTTTAAATTTATCGTACGCGTTTATTTGAATAAAAGAAAAAAAAATAAAAGAGCAGGAAAAAGAGGAAAATATATATATCAAATAATCGACGTTATAAATCCAAAATCGAATTGCAAGCAATTACGCAATGAGCTTCGAAGAAAAGTGATAATTGCAAATGATACTCCTTGAAGGGAAATAACGCTTGCGTCGAATCGCAATTGGCGTAAATTAGTTGGTCAAATGATGAGGTCAAAACATTGCCGTTGTATTGCAGATTACAATTTACGCTAATGAGATAAGCTGTTCGACGAAGTAAAGCAAGCAAACAGATTAATTGAATATAAATTCTTAACGGTCCGTTATAAAGCTGCAATCATGTTGGCGAATAACTGGCAAAACGATACTTTATCGTCTATAACATTTAATATTACGACGATGATGCCTGATATAGTGACGAAAGCACCAAAGAGACACGTCACTTTCGCTTCGCAACTTGTACTGACCCTCGTCTACATAACGGGTGTTATCGGTAACGTGTCAGCTCTGATTATTCTTCTTCATAAAGATAAGGTAATTTATCAAGATATAATTATTAATTTATATTAATTAACGGACATTTTAACGATATTACTAATAAAATAATAAATGGCCTATTCCTTGAGATAAAAGTTACATATATTGTCACACAAATTATAACTAATAGCGGAAATTATATTGAAATTATATATTGTTTTCATAAATTATAAAATTACTATTTTAACTATGTAATTTCCTGCAGTTTGCAATACAACAAATATCACTACTAACAAAAAATTGCTTACCGTATTAATTATAACATAATATTCAAAGTAATAAAAAGAAAAAATTCTTTTCTTTAATTATGAAGCAAGTAAATAATTGTTAGACGTAATCGATTGTTAAACAACCGATTAACCCCGACAATCGATTCCTTACAAACTTATATTCTTCAATGAGAAATTATGCCTTTTAATACCAAGACTTTGTATATTTTTTTACTAAACGATCGAATGAGTACAATATTTATCTGAAGTATATCTTGATAAATAAATAGTGTACATTATTAATAGATTTATTAATTGTATAAAAATAAAAAATAATAAAAATGTAATCTAAACTCCGGCTTTTAATTTTGTTTAAACGTTTCCTCTTCCGTACTAAACTTGGATAATGTTTCATTCTTTTATTGCTTTATTTCAGAGACGGAACAGAAAACATCTATTAATGTTACGTTGTTTAGCGACCAATGACCTGATGGCGCTATTGGGGATGTTGGTGCAGATGTACGTAACAATTTATGTAGGCGGTATTACGTCCACAAGAGCATTTTGTTCCCTGCGGGTTGTCTGGCGACTTTTTGGTCTTTTCAGCGGGTGCGTTGCCATCGTTATGGCGGCAGAAAGATGGTTGGCCTTGACTAGACCGTTCGTTTATCAAAAGGTAAGCCTAGCTTCAGAATGATACTGTAATTGCTGTAATCAAAATTCTTTTCAAGGGAAGTTATTCAGAAATTTGTAAGAGTATTCAACTCTTCTTTGATTAAAAAGTACCTAGTTAGAAAGTAACTCACTATATTTATGTTATTTCTATATACAAGGTGCTTCATAATGTTTGTCCAAACACTCGTGTACAGATAGAACGCGGTAAACTGAACAATCCTTTACCGCTTTGCAATTTTCGCAATAATAATTGAGATATTAACACGTTCGCCATCAGCGTCACATATGCGTGACGCGCCGATTCTGCGATAATAAGTAAAAATCTGCAGTATATTATGCAAAAATACAAAATGCAGATTTTTACTTATATACACATAAAGTGTAGTAAATAAGAATAATGAGTGTTTCTATTATTATGTTGCTATCACTCATATTTTATCCTCGACCGTGGCCGAGAAGTCGGCTAGTCGATCGCGGCACGTGCAATCTCTGATAGAATCGAAGAGACCTTCGCATTGAAATTTTTAAGAATTTCTTGGCATCGTATATATTTCAGTGCATCGAATATAAAATCGCACGAAGATATATCGCGCATAATATTCACATTTATTTACGCGTTGGGCGTTGACTTGTATATTAATTTGATGACACACTAATATAATGCAAATTACGGACAACATATCCACTGTTCACTAATTAGTGCTAATTAGCTCTTTATTAGCTCTAGTAGAAAGTGTTGGTCTCATCTAATGATAATAAAAAAAATTTTTTTAATAGAATAAACAATAAAAAAGTCTGTCCTCATATAAAACAAATAAAGAAATTACATATTGAACTGTTGAAGCAATAAATTTTTTATTTTTAATAATAAATCAATTGTCAGTAGATTGAGCATAAGTACATAATTAAATTAAACTGCACATTATAATTTACAACGTGATTTTGTTTTATGCGAACAAGCTAGCGTGAGGAAATTTACACACGTGCGCTATAGAAACATTTTAGAGTTTACGACGCTTATAAAGTGACCACATTTTACGATGAAAATGTGAAAGGATAGAAAACCCTGATGATAGTTCAACAATCTGTTTTCGTATAAATTATATCACTAAATTTATTTTTAAAAAAGTACCCGAATTGCCGCTCCGATAAAAAAATTAGACGTTTTTTCATAGAGAATCACTAATTAAGTAAATATCGATCATAATATGAAAGATGAGCTTGATATTTTGTGCTATCTAATAATAAACGACAATTTTCGTCGTTATCATCTTTAGACGGCATCTTAGATCAGTACACAAGATTGCAATTAATTGGGGCTGATTAATGCTACTGTTGCGTCGCACTCCATCAAATATTGTCTTTTCAGGGAAAGAACCCGCCTAACGTTTTTCCTCGGTAATGTTCCGTAATATAATAAATTTTGTAATCCATATCTATGAAATTCCTATCAAAGATACAATTACGATAAATTAACCAATTCAATTTTATTAATTATTATTATGGTAATTACGACTTAGAAATTTAATAAAAATAAAGGAAAGTGGAGTAAAAATTAAAATTGATATTAAACTTAAAATTTATTTTAGTTTGCAACACTTCAAACGCCTATATTTCACTATAAGTCTTCTTGCAAAAATCGCGATCGATAATTCAAAATTTATAGAGCACACAAAATGTATTTTCCGAGAAATAATACGCAGTTAAACTCTAGAGCTTTAATGCGTCCTCCTTAATTGTTAATCAATATCACTTATACGAACAAACACCTGATATTGGCGATCAGCATTATAGTTTGCTTTCCGCTTTTTTATGGTACACTTTTTCACAGTGCGATGTAATTTGCCGTAAATAGAATTAATTTCGAGAGAATAATCATGCTCTTTTGAGCAAATATATAATTAAAGAATTAAAGTGACAACATTTGCTGCAAGATAATGCTCTCGATAGTAAACAGCACGTTCCATTTTCGCGATATTATCTCGGCGTGCACATCATCGTACGTATAAAATTAATATAAAGCCAATGGCGAAGAATAGAGATTTAACGATGCTGGTCTATTTTCTGATCGCTCTCGCAGACGCGGTTTAATTCGGGATGAGTATTAATTTTGCCGGCTTCAAAAGCAAGTAATTGTCCTTGAAAATTCTGCAAATATTTCGAGAATATTCGACGATGTTCTCGAAATGTCCGAATTGACGCAGCTTCAAAGCAGAAAATCAGCACGCACGTATGTTATGTCTCTTATGTCAGAGTTGGCCTATTTAACGAAATGTCAGACACACTATAATGATAGTCTCATCTTTTTCAATTGTTTATTTATATCTATTAGATTGCTTCCAGAATTTTCCTAGTCTCTTCTCTTTTGATTTTTTTGTAGTGTCCCTGAAGATTATGCAAGTGCATAAATCTCGATCGAAATCATATAACACGGAAGAAAAAGTAAGAACGATTTATACGAGCATTGGGAGTAGTAAATTCAGCATTCTCAGGAGTCTTTCTTAGGAGTCTCAGAACGAAGGAATTTTATTTTTAAAGATATAAATAGTTTAATAAATATAAATATGTGAGACGCAATAGAAATTTGAGATGCCGAGATATTGATTTGATTTTTTTAAGAAAAACAACTTTTTTAAGTTAAAACTGCGGAAAGATGTGTATATAATAATTGATAATTTTTATATCTATATTAATTTTTCAATAGACAGAATATTTTAAATTTTATATATGAGAAGATATACATTACTTGCTCTTTCCTCTCTTTCTTCTGATAAAGCAGCCAAGACAATTCTCCAGCTTCTTTCAGAAAGGATCGATATTTGCATCGTCGTATTTTAATGTCTTAATGGATGACACGCATGTATCTTCCAGCAGGTGACGTATCCGGTAATTGTTCGTTGTATGTTGGCGCTTTGGTTGGTTGCGCTAGGGATGACTAGTCTTCCAGTTATGGGCTTCGGATTGTACTACAAAAATGAACGATGCGTTCGTTACAGAGAGGCTATTGAGCCGGCCGACGTCGCTTACGCTTACGTATGGTTCATTCTCGGTAAGTGAATTAGCAGATAACATTTACCGATAAAAAAATGTAGCGCTGTTTGTTCTTTAAATTATTCTTTCTTTTACTTTTATTTTCTATTTTCGACAACAAATCAGTAAGTTAAAAAAATTATCTTTTGATTATTATTACAGGTACGCTCTTATGTTTGTCCATCGTTTGGTGTAATTTGGCGGTTTTTAGAGCTTTGAGTAAATTGAGCCATCGAGCTAGCGCTCTAGGACGAATCTCTAAAGCTTCGTCGAGAATAAAACCACTGTTGACCATAGCCGCTCCAAATCGATCAGAAGTCGTCGCTACGACCGAAGAAAGAGCATTCGCAAGGCTGATGGCTGTATTATCAATATCATTTGTTATATGTTGGATGCCACACATGGTAAGTCTAATTTTATTATTTCAATTTATATATAAAATAATAACAGGTAATTAATAAATAAATACTAAAAAATAAACTGATAATTAAAGATATCATTTCTGTTAAATGACATAAATAAAAAAATTATTTTGCCGATCTTAATTCAAATATTTTTGTATCTTTTGCATCGTTTCTGTGATTTATTCTTTTATAAAGCATCCACTCTGATATACATCCGGATTTATTTATGCTTAAAAGAGTTCTCTTGTTCTCTGCCAGTCCTTTCCATTTGGAGAAAGTTATTACTGAAAATTTCCAGAACACAATCATTATCCCTCACCAAATATTCTAATAAATAATTCTAGTCTCAAAGGTGATAAAAATAAGTAGAATAGCAACGATTAAAACAAAAAAATAAGTTTCTTTTATGATAAGGAACTCACCTTTGTTGGCAGAGGTGAGTTTCTTATCATGAAAAAGTATAATCATTGTGGCCGCGTAGGCAGAATAACGATTTCGTAGAATTATCGTAGAGTCCTATATTTCCACGAAGTCCTTTTTTAATACAATCTTGCGAAGTTTTTGTCAAGACGGTAACTCTGCTTCCGGCATTTTTATAAAGATTGATAGCATTCACGTAATTTGCTCGTTATTTTGATGATATTGTCATAGTTGATTTAAGTAATTTTCCTGGTGCTATTAAAATATTTTAATTAAAATTTTTTCTTATATCAAGAACTCTTGATTGTTCTTTAACAATTTTGAAAGAAAAGTAGTGGTTGTTATAATAAATTAATAAAAATATTATAAAATTATTACTATGCATCATTACATAACTTTTTTGAATTGTAGGTAATTTAATAAGTAAATAATAATAAATTGTAAGTAAATAAATACCTAGTAAATAATAATAACGCGAGTAATAGGTAATAATAAATTAATGGCACATTAAAAACATTAATGATAAATTAATACTCTTGTGGGAGGTAAATAATTGATTTGTATTTTTAAACAAATCGATTGAGTTACAACGGACACATCTTGCCGGAAGCAATAACCGTAATTACTTATTGTATCTGATCAGCACAGAAATATCACACACTTCCGTTAAGAGCGATGAAGGTCGGCAAGGATGAACGATGAACATTTGAGAATAGTTTCACGTACGTTTCATCGAGACATCCGCAAGTCAATATTCTGATCGTCTCTACAATAATTTCATCCTGTGCACGATTTCGCCAAGTGATGAAAAATTTTGCATGGGAAAAGATCATTTTGATCATCGCAGGAAGACTATCGAGTCAACAAATAAATTTTACACCAGAAATTTTGTCTGAAAAGAATATTGTCGGCATTTCTTTCATTAAATTTAATTCGATAAATAAAAAAATTAAAAAAATTTACACATGTACCACTCTAAAAATGTAATACACAACCACATCAGTAAATCATCCAAACGTCATCGTTGCCAATAAAATCTTGGCATCTTTGCATGCTGTCTACTATAATTGAAAATATTTATAAATGGCAAAATAGGTATATTTTTTCTGCGACGTAACCGGTTCGGTGATCGAACCGGTTTAATGATTGTTAGAAATTACTAAATTACCTTTCCTTTTATTCCGTTGTCGCAGTTGTCTATACCACTGGCTCAAGTCGCAATGCAGTTACCTCCAACGGCAGTCATTACACGGAAATGCATTCGCATTTTTTACATCATAGCCGATATTCTTTTATGCGTTCACTTTACGCTGGATCCGTATATTTACGTGCTGCTGCGAATACCACGGCCGAGATTCCAATTGCTGAAGCCGCTCTGCAAGATCTGCTGGCCGGACCGGAGCCGTTCCAACTCGTTTACAGGTGAGGCAATTCATTTGGCATTTAAATATCAAAAAGATCCGTTATACCTTTGGGCATTAGATGTTTGTAAGAAATTCAACGTATTAATAAGAAATATAAATATTTCCATACACTTTACAAGATGAGATTGTAACCTTTGATGAGGTAAAAATTAATATATTAATATTATTATATTAATTAATAATATATAAAAATTAATAATAAATTTTATTTTATAAAATCAAAATAATTAAATATCACAAAACCTTACGAAAATTGTTTCATAGGAACGACGGATCACCAATGTAGTAGCGGTGGTCCGCCCACACCGATCACCGAAGCTCCATCGACACCTGTCAGCGAAGTGCACAATTCGCATTTAATTGGAGGATCCCTTTGAGATCGGCCTATGCGAATGATCTCGTTAAAGCGATTAAACAATTATCACGTGTAAACATTTGGATCGCTTCAACGCCAAGACATTCGCTTAATTTTTGACTGACCGTCGGAAACTCCGTTCATTTGCGTAAAGCAAGTGACAGTGACGTTGATTTCAACCAAGATCTGTGCACAAAATCGAAATTGCTTAAAAGTCACAAAAAAGAAAATTAAATTAATTTAATAATGCAAAAAGGTATCGTGTAGATATTGTACTTGCATATCTGTGTAAGCTTCTAGTCAGTAACGCGGGAGGGTAAAAACGAATGATAGATTGGCAAAGCATGTAGTTAACCATGTGGTCTATTAAAGTGTAACGCAACCAGCGATAGGTGAAATAATATGAAAATGTATTCCATATATAAAAAAATAAGATATAAAATATGCAGAAATAACATAATATTATGAAAGTGATAAAGAGACAATGCAATTCAAGATCAAAAGTACATAAATGCTCTTGCAAATTTAATTTGCAATATAAAATGAGAAGAGTATTTATGTGATTTATAAAACTTAAAACATTATTTAGTCTTAAGAAAAGACATATACTTATAAAAAAATTCTCTATATACTTTATTACATTAATTATATTCCTCAATGTGCAATTGCAAATAGAGCGTAGCAATGTCGTCGATATATTTGTAAACGACTTTATTTTAACATCATTATTTGTACATAATATCATACATACATATGTTAATGTTTCGTGTATATCGCGCAATATCGCACAGTATTTACGTACACATTTAACAATTTTCAAATAAACATTAATCTGAAATTATCTAGATCACGATTTATCGATAAATCTCTCCGGAACAAACACACACCCACGAATACTCTCACGTACAAAAAAGAATATAATGCAAACATACACTTCGCATTCTTTATATAGGATCTAAAAATATCGTCACGTCGCGCTACCCAATATATCGTAATGATTGGAGTGATGAAACGCAGCGAGAAAAGAAACAAAATCATTATAATACAAGTAATCATATGTCGGCTCAGAGATAGCTCACCGGCAGGTAGCAAACGCTGACGATATTGAAAATAACTTATGCACTCATCATTGAAAAGTAGAGTTGTTCGCAAAACGTATACACATTTCAAATGCAAGTTTTTTTTTTACTAAAATTTGTATTACTTTGCTTTACAAGATGTAACGTCAATCGTTTGTAGAAAAGACCATTATGATTGCATTTGTATTATCATTGGAATTTATTTTTTAAGAAACAGAATGTAGGTATATTAATCTAGAGGCTTTGATCAGATTGCTCTTCAATCAAGAGTCTTTTGAGTTGTCACATTTAATATATTATACATGTAATCAAAATATATATATATATATATATATATATATATATATTTTGATTATATATATATATTAAATATATATATATATATATATTACATTTGATAAAATATATCTTCCAATTATAATTTATTTAATAACATAATTTAAATTATAGCTGACAGCGCAATCACAACATTTCTCTCATCTCGCGCTATACTTGTTACATCATGTACACTTACTTGGAAATCGATCTCCCGGAGATCGAAGTTACACTCATTTACATATCATCATCATACACATGTACGTGATCACATACATATATTTTCATTTGCTTAGGTTTTTTTTAACAAAGGTTCAACAATATCTTTCTGATAAAATATCATTTTTATGCGATAAATAGAGGTACGCCTCAAATTCTAATTTAAACATCATAACTGACATACAAACATTAAATAGAATTGGCGAACAGCAGAATAGAGAGACCAAAACTGCATAAAACGATAGATATCATATTTCTTTTACTCAAAAAAATCTACTTGTTTTGAATGTAATTGAACAATAATAAACCGTGAAAGTCGAAACTGTGCAACACGATACATAATTTTGCGCTTTGCAACGCACAAAGTATGCGTTACACACAACTTTTGTCGGATGTTTAATTCAATATGCACGATAACTTGTAATCAATTTATCGATTTGCTGCATTGATTGTTCTTTTCAATCGTATCATAATCAATTTCACTTTCACCGCATTAATTTATTAAGTATCAATTAAATTCAGTGTCGCGTAAGTAACTGCGTTCGCACATAAACGGAATAATTATTTGGCCGTTGCATCAATTGCATTTTCATGAACAACGAAGGATGTTAAGCAGAAACACCAATGGCTTCGATTTTACATACATACAACTTCGGTTGGTCTTGTGTATAATTACCTCGAGGTTCATTATCATTTAATTATTGTCAAGCGTACTGTATGCTTATTACAAGTATTCAAGGTCAACTATTTAAATCACTCACGGCTACATGGACTTATGGCGATCCATGTTGCGCATTTTCAACAATCAAAACAGCAGTTTTTGTTCTTCGGATATTCGTATTTCATAAGTGGAAATAATAAACTGTCATGTAGCGTCGACTGTCTTGTTAAATGCTTCTCGGATTCATTATTAAATCCATCTTGAATTAAATATGCTGTTAAATTATTGTGATATTCAGTATGACAGTTTTATCAATTCTAGGAGTAGCGAATATAAATTACTAATTTGTCAATCATCCTGACCGCGTAGCAGTACATTGCGCTTTTAGAATTTCTCTTATGTTATTAATTTTACATTTTTACGAATTATATAACAATTTTTTCTCGATGAAAGTGCAAAAAGGTAAATAGACAAATACTTTAAAAATAATTATCTTTACGTAAGTATTTTTTAAAATCAGATTGTGTAAATTTAAAGTTGAGTTCTTTAAAAAGATGCAGCAATAAATTCCGTGTGCGCGTAAACAATAAGGAATACAAGGAAAAATAAAATATAAACATGAATATAAACACGGCAAATTGACGATGATAGAATTATACTGACTTGCAGTTGTAATGTTCTTTTCACTGACTTATATCGTTTTAATTAGAAGATAATGAAGTCCAGATAAAATACGTGTAAACAGCCACTTGATACGCGCGAAAACTCGAGAGAAATTCTTTTATTTCTCGCCTCCTTCAAATAAATAAATCTCTGTCCGTGCCAACTCACTTCAACTTCAATGTACACACAGCCTCGCTAAACTTTTGAACAATTAACACGAACACATCGAGTTACATTATACCACGTACTGGAAATAATGAAGTACATCAGTACTTTCGTAACGTCGATCGACGAACGAGGAGCAAATTCGTTTTCCCTTTTTTTTTTTGGCACTTCAGTAGTCGTAAGAAATATAAATCTCTAAATCTGCTAATTGATTTAGGCCAGTGTTGATACAAATACACATATATAAGCTCGATTCAACGCCCTGCCAGGTACCGTAGCTCATCAATTCTTCAGCGTCGATTTATTTGATTATATTCTAGCCCAAGATGGAAAATTTATTTTATTTAGTTGCACCTTCTATAACTTTTCTACAATTTTTTTTTCTTTTATTTTTTAATTGTACATGTTTTTCGTCACTCACATTATAAGAAAGTGCAACTAAAAGAAAACACACGCGCGACCCGAACGACACAAATGTCTAAAGAGCATCGTAGTAATATTTAAAAGGGAAGTACTGAATTTTCAGATATCTTTTGGACTTTTGTGTTGCTCGGGAATATATTAGTTTAATATGTGGGCTCGTTTATAAAATCATGTCCTCGTGTGTAAAGCGAACATACATCAACATTGAGAATAACATCAAAAATCAGATCCTATCATATCCCAACCAGATCCAACATATGCGACTCGATCGAGCGATTTATCCGGTGTCGACGATTTACCAAAGGCACGTGCTCAATCCACAACAATTAATTGTTTACAATATCTCAGCTACTAATTTGGTAATTTATTAGTCTGAAACTAAACCAAAGAGTTTTACACAAATTTTAGTAGCTTGACTTAGAAGTAGGACTAGATACAAATATTGCAGTTATAAGTAAATCAAAATAAATACAATCCTTTAACGTCTCTATTTAATTTTTAAACGCAAATTGCTAATTTAATCATTCATAATGTAAAAAGAAATACATAAAAGGTTTTTCAACGTTTGGATATAAGTATTATATAATTTTCTCATATAATGTGTTAATTTTCAAATAATTTTCAAGCGTATGTAAAGAAAGAAAAATTCAATATCGAGCACTTGTCGTTGGTAAATAATTTTGCACCAGATTCGCGCGATTGTTGATGACCGGACAACAGCTAATCCATTCACAGATCGCACATTGATAGGTCCGTGACCGTTCTCGATCGGTCGGATTCTCGCGCGAGCTGCAGCCGATGCTTTTTTACATCCTGGGAATAGTGTATTTCTCGCATTTTACTCTTGATCCATTCGGCTAGTATCAGCCAGAGAACTCTTCCGCGTTCCCTGAAAATCCCGTGCGTCGGCGCATCCTGATCGGCCACGATCAGACGACGGCGGTGGCGTCCGCCCGCGTGCTGCGCGTACAACGATTCCCACGGCGTGTCATGCCGACTTTCGTTTACCGCGACCCTTGCCTAAAATGCAGGTGTCTTTTGTCAAACTCTCACCCTGCGACGATGGTTTATTTAAAATAACTACAGATCCATCAAAATTGTCAGAAGAAACCATCTTCTGACATGTTCGATTGAAATTTTCGATCAACTTTTTTTGGAACGAACTTGATTAATTAACATTTGTAACAGTGTTTAATATATTTTGTAATATTTAAAATTATCTTATAATGATTATCTTAATATATTTTCTTAATTATCTTTTGCTCTCTTTTTGAAATATATTATTATATGAATAGACGTACTACCAAATCTCAGTTATAGATCTATAGTTGGTTAAAACATATTGGATTAATAAAACACATATTTATATCAATCTGAATACAAAAAAATGGTGTCGACCTAATTAAAGTTACATTAATATTTCTAAAATGTGTGGTTTGTTTTTTACAACAGGGTAAACTTTATTTGTTTCAATTTTGCCAAATTATTTGAACATATAAGCATGCCTCTAAAAATACTGTAACATACATAGGTTAAAAAAGAAATTTAAATTTTGCGAGGAATAAAAATTGTACATAAAAACAAAATAAAATTCTATCAATATACAATTAACATAACAAAATAAAATTATTGCTGTAAGAAATATGCGTATATATGATACAAATGAATAGGTAACGAATCATTCAGGTTTAAACGCTACCGGAAGATAAATTAACATTCTATGTGTTCAAAATTTTGCTTAAATAATAATGCGATACTTACTATACATAAAGCAGTTACTGCATCATCCTGAACGTTGTTCAGCATGATGAAAAATTTTATTTAGCATATGAAACCAGTAAAGTGCTAAGAAATATAACTTAAATAATAATAATTTTGTTTTAATATGCATTCCTGATTGGTAAAACTAATTGCCAGAAAAAAGCTGCATGTGCAAAAAAAGAAAATTAAGCTATATCTATTTTAAAATAAATAATTGATTTTTGTAAAAAATAACTTGTTCCGCGTTTATATGACAAAAATTATGTCATAGAATTACATTGTTCTTTTTCTTCTTTGTAAAAAATTGGCGTATTTAAAAAAAAATGTATTTAATGCAACATGGTTATTTTTGATCAGTGTCAAAATTTAATTATTTTAAATCAAATTTTACTCTCTAAAATTCTTTTGTTCTTACCTGGGGTCGTATTAGATGATATCACACTTTCCACAGCAGCAGGTGGTTCGTGGAATCTTCGCGACCAGCCTGCAGCTCGGCGGATGCTTGAGGACCGCGGAAGTCTTCGTAACCATCCCCACCGGATATCACCAGGAGTTTCCCACGATTAATATTGTTCTGCTGCGTTTTGCTTGATTTTAGTGAATAACGATTTACTTTCGGACGAGGATCCGGTTTCGAGGGATTTGGCGTTTCTACACAAGTGAGAAAGCGCACGTGTCCCGTGTGTCCGTGAGGAATTCCTGTACGGAATAAAATAATTCTCTTGTACAAGAGTTTTATAAAGATTTCCAATCTGAATTATATGTTAAAAGAGAATATTTGTGTAATAAAATTTTAGAGAGAAATGGCCTAAAATTTTAGAATGGTCGGTAACATGTTTTTTTACAGAGAGGATTAGACACTGAAATCTTATATTATAAAAATTGCATTGAAGTCTTATATTTTAAACAGTGAGGTAGTCTAGAATATTAAATCGTACATTTTATTTATTTTTATTTGTTAGAATCTTATATCATAATATTTGGTAGACCTAAAACTTTACTGCGATACATTGAAATCTTATATTGTAGAATTCTAGACATATTTAAAAAATTTAAAAATTTTTTTCTTTAAAATATAAAATTTCAATGCATTACAGCAAAGTTCTAGGTTTACCAAATGATATGATGTAAAATTCTAAAGCATAAAAATGAATAAAATATACATTAATGTTAAAATAATATATATTTTATTCATTTTTATGCCTACTATTATTATATTCTATAATTTAAATTTCTAAAAAAAGTTTTACAACATTCTTTACTTTTATATATACGTAATACTAAGCTATCTTAAAAAATGAAATATATACGTAATACTGATATTTGACTAACGGATTAAAAGCGATTAATATCCCTGCACCTATCATGGAGTTATATCCTATATAGAAAATAAAACTTGACACTGATCGATCGCTCCTGTATCCTTCCACGTGAACGGGCATGGCGCACAATTTGGGGTGTCGGCCAGCTTTCTAATTATATCGCGGGGCAATAATAACGGCGATATAGATGATAGAATATGACGTCAATACGCACCAGTCACGATCGGCGGCTGCGACATCCTCTGAGTGGATGGCTTTATATGGGGAATTGGCACGGTGAGCAGCACGCCGGCGCTCGTGCCGATCCAAAGTAACTCGTTGCAAGCCAACAGTGCGGTGACTCTAAGACACGCTGCTTTATGCTGTCGGATTATGTCATCGCAACCTGCAGCAAGTTTAACGCTTCCGTTAAAATAAGTGCCGAAGTCCGTTCACGAGACCCTTATCGCTATCGATCGATTAATTCGATTAGTATAAAGATTTGAGAGTAACTCAATAAAAATTGTAGAAGCTGTAAAAATAAAGGCAGACAGAAATTGCATCATCCTAAATTGATATTCGAAGAAAGATGGTACAATAAATCGGAGTGAAAATGATTAAAAATACTCAAGTCAATGATTCTCCAGTTATTCAAGATTTGAAACTTACTGGCAAGCATTTTGGTGACAGCTGGCGCGATGTTGATATCCGTCAGACACTCGTAAGTACCGGAATGGAAAAGCCTCAGCACGGCGCTATTGTGTAAGGAAATCCAGACGCCTAAACCGCCGGAGTTTGCCATGCAGGAAACAGCACGGCTCGTATCACTGCTCACGGTGAACGTGTGCTCAATATCCAACGTGTGAGTATTGAGAACTTTCACGCTATTGTGGCAGCCGCACCAGAGCTTCCCGGAGACAGACAGCATTTTAGTTACCGGCGACGCTACCGTTCCAACGGATACCGTCGTTGGATCCGGAGTGTTCCATCCGCCGGCTATAATAAAAAAAAAGACACAAATAAAATAGAATAAAACTTTACCACTTTATCAAGTCATTTTAATTAAAAAATATTATTAATCTCTCGCAACACGTACTGTGGTCCCGAGCATAAACGGTGATGTCTCCGTTGGCAAGAGAGACAAACACTTTGTTGTCCAAGTATCTGAAAATACAAAGCAACGTTACATTGCAAAATATATGTGTGTGCGTGCGACACATATGGAATGTAATACATTTTATCTTATTCTTCTATTATAATAAAATAAAGTAGCTTACATGATGCAGTGCACACTGCTGCCGTGCTGAATTTTCACCTTGTTCTTCTTAATCCGGATATTGTCGTTGCAGTTGTACACGTGAATGCAACCGTCTTCAGTCCCCAGCCACATCGTGGGCTGATTCGCATCCTCCTCCGCAGTAGTATTGTCGATATTCGATACATCACCGCTCAGTGTCACGCTGCCCGTGTCTGCGCATGGAATGTCGTCCGAGTCCGAATCGTCGGAGCTCGAGCTACTGCAAAATGCGTGAGCGCAAATGACGTTAAACCGATGCAAAACAATATGAAAATAGACGAGAGACTATGGCAGTCCTCTATTCAAAGCTTTATATTGACCTCGACATCGATTAAAGAATTTCCTGATCATTAATTTTCGCTTAGCATTAACTTTTTTTAATAAGTGTGGTAAATTAAAAATTTACATTTAACAAATTCGCTACTAGATAAATTGGCATTTCGTACGTTCACACTTAGCTCGGTGAATAAAGAATAATGTGGCCAATGTTAATGTTTACTATTATTAATAAATCATACCTAAAACTATAAACCGCTCAATACTGCAAGTTTCGTTATTTACGCGTCAATCGCGATCGCCGCGGGAGAATTATTACCTGTCTAACTGTATGTTACCGCCACCGGCATCCACGTCTTGCACCGATATGCTTATACCGCTCTTGCTGTTAACGAATGGACTGTTGTTCGACGGACACGAGTTTGAACTGAAAAGACAACATTTAAACCCGTGTGTTCGTACCTCCCCTTCCACCCGCTTAGCTGTTCAATTATCTCTCCTCGCAATTGATGCCAAATTTCTCTACGCATCCGCCTATTGCACCTCGCCAATCTTACCCGGGCGTGCACGCAGGTATTCCAGCGACGCAGAGTATCCTGGCGTTGCAGACTCCGTTACACGATGTGACCTGCGGCGGTTCCGGGCTCAGGCTCAGCACGCACACCTGGCCGACGTAGCCGTCGCTGTTGCAGACCCAGACGTCCCTTGATCCCTGTCCATTCGCCAGCGTCGGCGCCGCGCAGGTGAACTGAAGACCCGCTCGCGTCTTCCTGATCGGCAGAGGTCCCACGAATTCAGGACACGGTCTCCTGTCGGCTGATAGCGCTGTAAAATTGGAAAGCAATTAAAATTCTCCGACTTATAAAGTTAGAAAAAATATAGAAAATGTGATAATCCTTAAAAAAATTTTTATATGCATAGCTTGTATATTGTTTTTAAACACATACTGTGTTTAAAATCATCCATTTAGTTCTTTATTTAAAAATTCAGTTCACTTACGGACATCTTTTTTGTACAAATGCTTAAGAAAGATAGCTGTAACTCATTTGTTCATTCGTAAAACGTAATATTCGGATATTTCGACCACATATTGGTACTAAATGTAATAACAGAAAAAAATGTTACTTTTCGAGCGTGTATTATTTCTATAACATATATTTTTTGATTAAAAATAGTATTTCAAATGTAGAACATTTGACACGGATAACATTGCTCACCAAGCTTCTGTTTGGCTTCGTTGAAACTCTCCTCCCAGCTTGCACGCTTGTCGGGCTTCGCGAACATGACGGATATATTCTCGATCCCGGCTCTGCAAACAAAGTACGCGTGACAGCGTGAGTCACGTTGCAACCGCAATTGGATCATCACGATTTAAAGATCCATCGGGCACGTGTACCAGAAACGTGATTGAAAATGATCCTCGGAGAACGATCAAAGGATTTCCGCTCTGCGACATAATCTAGCAAAATTACCTAAGACTCTTCTTCGCCGCCAATTCTCAATCAAACTAAATTTTCACATCGTCATCGATTTTTTTTTATTCATCACATGCAATTGTTGAAAATAATACAGATATAAACTCACATTGCACTCTGGCATTTCGTAGAAAAAATTTATTCTGCATATTTGCAAAAATGGTAATTTTGCCTCGTGTCGGCAAATTAAAACTGGAATTAATATTTTTTTATCATCATGTTCGGAGAAGCTTTCCTCATATGTGTTCATTTAATTTGATCAAATTAACTTACTGCGTATTGAGCGTAAGTTCCAAGCAAGCCAACTGCGAGTGCGCCGCGTTTCTTTCCGCCAGTTGCCGTTGAGTCTGATTCAGCATATCCTTGATAAGGTCTTCTAACTGCTGCTTGGCGCCGTGCAAGGTCACAGTGAGCTCCTGAAGCTGAGTCAGTTTCGAGCAGTCTTCTCGGAGGTAGTCCACTTCGCGCGCCATTCGCCTTAAATTCTCGTCTTTGGCTGGAAACGGTAGTAGGGTAGTCTCAAGTCTCCAGATGAGTAATTCACTTAAATCAGCATCTTTACGATACCTTTCATCACTTCGAGATCATCCAATGGAATTCGCATCAGCATTTTGTACTTGTTTGCGTCAAGTAGACCGACCAGACTGTTCGGACATGTGCTCCTGCGAAATTTATTTTCTTTAATTTTTTTGTGCGTATTTCTGTTATCTCAAAAATTCTCTCTTAAGTCTAAAAGGTTTTTACAAGTAAATTAATTTATATTGAATTGCGTGCTATATTTTGTATATCGAGTAATTACGCTACTATTTAAAACATGGCTAGAAAGACCACTGAATCTTTTGCATTAATTTTGTTTTATTACGTTGTACTTAGCACCTTAAATAAAAGTAATCACATCTAAGTAAAATACGATTAAAATATAATTATTTGAAGGAAGCTTTAAGTAAATATTCTGTAAAAGTAGCGTTTATTATTTACTTAGTAAATTTTATCTTCTAAAGCTACAAGCTAAATTTAAAGAGATATATTAAAAAAAAATATTTACTTTATTGCATGGCCAGATTGAGATCGCAATTTTTCATATTTTCCGTCAAAATATACTTTAAACATTTGCGAAGCACTTACGTTGATGGTTTCCTTATCGTGCCGCTTCTGCGCTTGATGCTAGTGATGACGAGCAGATCGGAGAACAAAAATAAAGCTCGTTCCTTCCGCGTGCCCTGATTCGATGCTATGGTGACCAGATCGTGCCGGACGAAAGCTCTATGGGAGAAAAAAGCGGACAACGTGTCACACGATGAATTCGATGAATCTTTTTGTCGTGTCGCGGCCAGCTTCCATAGCACGCATCATTATCGGTAATCAATACCCCGATTCTGACGGCTAAATAAGTCCGGTGGAAAAACGATGTAACGCGTACGGCGCGATTGGCACAGATTGAAAGGCGCATGAAGTGGGACGACGTTTCTGTCGCAATAATAATCGACAATTTATTGGAAAACGTTACTCGCTGCGCGATAGTACGCATTTTCTCAATCATTTACATCGCTAAAAATCAATTCGAAACGGTTATAAGACAGATGTCACAATAAAGCGCTGCAATTTTTGTTGCACAATTTATTTAACATATAATAACAGTGTTATAAATAATTATAATAGCGCAAACAAATAACCACACAATAGTCTGTTTATATTTTATTAATTTTCTTTATTTGTTAAATATCCACAGCCAAAAAATGTGGGTTGGGTGACAAGGGGAACACATTTCATTCTGCAAATTAAGCGATTAACTTCAATTTGCAGGTCTTAATCAACTTGTCCTTGTTCCTTTGATTTCGCCGAAACAAAACTCTACATTTTCCGTCGCATGTAAAAAAAAAAAAAAAAAAAA